ACACAACATCAGTATTAACTTCAGTATGAAGTGAGCTGTCAGTAGTTCTCCGTGAGGGATTTAGTAGCTTGCCCTGACGAACTGGTTTGTGACTGGTTGTTGCCTTTGATTGTTGTGTCATTGACCGCATAGATGTTCCTGTCGTCTGTTCCTCTGCTTCACCTCTGACCTTTCTGTCGTTTAGCATTTTTCTTAGTGGTTGGTAGATTCAGTCTATATCTACACATTTGTTGATTGCTGATTGGTCTGAATCCCAACCTTCTAGGAATTCTCTCGTATTCTTTATGTTTCTTTTGTCCAAGATTTTTATATTGTCAAAATTGAACTTATGTCCATAATTATTCACATGCATCGAAATGAGTGATGAAATGTTGTGACGTTTAATATCCAGTTGATGTTCATGTAGACGAAGATGAAGAGGGCAACCACTTTGTCCAATGTAGTGTTGACTACAGTTATTTCAGTTGATTTTGTAAATGATACTTTGTTTGTCTTTTTTGGTTATTGAGTTCTTTGGTCTGCATAATAGGGTTCGGAGGGAATTTGTTGGTTTATGAATGGCCACACCAATTTCAAGAGGTCTCACTAATCTTGTCATGATTTCTGATATATTCTTTATGTATGGTAGGCTGATGCGTCTAGAAAGAGGATGAAAGTTTCACGATTAAACAACTTAGGTCAGAGAACATAATACAACCAAGACCGTCCACCTGAGCTACAAATATTCTCCACTATTTCACAATTTAGTCTCTGCTGACTTTAATGAAAGACCTAAGATAATTGTCCTGGACCTAGGAATCAAAGTGGGTATACCTTAGTTGACTTGGGAAACTAAAAATATGGTTATATACTTTTTATTGTTAGTTGGTTCGAGGTAATCGGTAGGAAGTCCTGCCTGACTTAGGTTTCGCGTTTGTTGGCTCTTGTCAGTGAGGTATATTTGCAACCTCGAAGGAACTGTTATCCCCTCTGGAATCCAAACATACGTCATCCAGTGTTGTAGTCAGCGATGTTACCACAGAGCTATTCGGGAACAGCAAAAATAATCAATGGAATTCAGTCAGCACTCAGACTGAACAACATGAAATCGGTTGCCATTCAATGTATCTCTCATTGTCTTTTTTTATATTTTGCTTTCCATTTGCTGTTACTAGTATAGTAGAAATGGATATTTGTATTCCCTTACTTTTTACATTGATTGTTCCTTCTTATTTAGTTATTATCATCTACATCATACTGCAATAAAAAATACAGGATGATACCAACTTCTGTACTAATGATGCTTGTATCTATCTTCCATAATTCAGATGAAGAAATAAGGAAAAGTGCAGGTCGATTCATACTAAGTTACAAATTTAAAAGGTTATTACTTTTAAGGTACTGAATTGAGAAGAAATGTATCCCTAGAAACAGAACTACTTTGGTCGCTAAACACTAACCTTAGACCGGTAGTCCGCTAAGTCTGTGAAGCTGAATTGCAATACCATGTATCGAATCTGAGTTACACTTGCTAATATAAAATCCAAAAATATAATGTCTTACCAGTGTCAGAACTACTATGCAAAATGAAATCTCTCTCTCTTTATATATATATATATATATATATATATATATATATATATATATATATATATATATATATATATATATATATATATAAGGTTTTTGATCTGTTTTACTCTCCTCTGTCCCGCTAGGTGAAGATGCTGATAAAATCCAGAAATGTGACCATGTTTGGCTTGCGCCTAACACCTGTCAAATGTGAGATGCTGATCCAAAACTGGTCTGCTGTAAATAATCCGTTTAATGATGAGAAGTGAAGTAGGGGAATATGCCGACCACTTCATTTACTTTGGGAGTTTCGTCAGCCAGCCACACAAGCTGGTTGCTGACAAACCCCAGCTTGGATACAGAAGGTCCATTTGGCATCACGCGTGGTGCCGGCCAGATATCCAGCTATCTAGCAAAGAACGAGTATACTGTGCTGCTGACCTTCTGACTTGTTATACCGCTGTGAGACATGGCCGTTGAAAGTAGAAAACATGGAATAATTACTGGGTTTTGATCAAATATGTCTTTGTAGTATTGCTCGTGTTGATTGAAATCCCCATGTGAGCAATGTTGAGACCAGGCGAAGGGCACTAAGCAAGACTGGCAAGTCAATTGATGAATTTTCATCTGCTGAGTTGGAATGGACATATGTTGCGCATGCTGAGTCACTGTCTACCTTGAAGAGTCATGTTGATGTAAGTTGGACTAGGTTAGAAGAGGGTTCAGAGTGGCTAGATCAAGGTATGCCACCAGCCGATGAAATCTCTTACTCTTGGCCTGAACCATAATGGGAGACGTAGACAATCTAGCTGGGGTCCTAGAGACAAAAGGAATGAGTGGTTGAGAACTTTTGGTGATATGGCTGAAAGTCGGTCACATTGGTGCAGATTTACCCACTGCTTGACATCTTTTAAAGCTTCAATATTCTCAATAACCGTGATCTTCAGATTGTTTTTTCTCTCACACAACTTTGTCTACTTTAACATCATTCCTTTTCTATCCCCTTGGTCTTTTTGTACTACTGTGAAGTATGGCAACTTGAGCCAACTTACCTATGTGCAAGGTTTCACACTGAATTTATCCGTCAGTTAGTCAGTCAGTCAGTCGATTTTCCTTAGATGGAGAGTATTTTTTATTCTACTCATATTTGTTGCTATGAAGATTAATTCCAAATATAATAAAATGTAGTATTATTTAATGATATGAAACTTTCTGAGTTTTACTGTTCATCATAACTCATAAGCATATCATCCATCTTATTTTTCATCTGTATACATTTCTCACACTGATGAGAATGAAAACAGAATTTTACTATTCTTCTTTTTAAGCAACTGGTAACATTGACAAAAATGACAATAATGCCTTATTGTAGCTAAACAAAACGAAATAAGGATTTATTAAATTTGCTTGATAAATAAAAATATACCTGCCTACAGGTTATTGATAGTTTATGACATTATCCAGATTTCTAACCCAGAGGTTTCTTGTTCGAATCCTGTTGAATATTAGATTTTCATTGAACTTTCAATTATTATCCAGTGTCTACACTAATCTACCAAATCATGATTATCTGAGATTATTATTATTATATTATTATTAGTCCCTTGGGTTCCTAGTGGAACATAGGGATTCAGTAGCACGTCTCCAGTGACCTCTGTTCTCTGAGATCTTTTGAACCTGGTTCCACGACAGCCCACAACCTCTCATTTCCTCCTCGCACGACCTCCTCCATGTCACCCTCCGACGTCCAACTCGTCGCTTCCCATGGAGATTCCACTCGAGTGACTGGCCTGAAGCGTGATGTCCCCAGTCGGCCTTCTCAGTGCATGGCCAATCCATCTCCACTTCCTCCTGCATATTTGTTGGGTGACAGGTTCTTGGTTGGTTCGTTCCCAGATCTCCTTGTTGCTTATTCTCATTATTCTGGTAATCCATCTGATCTTCAGTAGCGAGCCAGTGTAGGCAGTTGTTGATGAATGTCGGTAGTTTATTGGAAATCCCTTTCGTGGCGCGCCAAGTCTCTGAACCATACAGGAGCACTGACTTGACATTGGTGTTGAAAATCCGTATCTTGTTCCGCATGCTGAGTGCAGAAGATCTCCACACTGGTTTCAGGAAAATGAACGCCTGTCTTGCTTTTCCGATTCTGACTTTGACGTCCTCGTCCGTCCCGCCTGTAGTTGAGACAGTGCTTCCTAGATAGGTGAAGGAGGTTACTTCCTTTAAGTTTCTCCCATTGATGGTGACTGGAGTTTGTTGTTGTTGTTGATGGTGGTGGTGCGGTATCTTCATCACCTCTGTCTTCTCTATATTCACTTGAAGTCCCGTCTTCACTGCCCTGCCTCGCCTCTTCTGACAACTTGTGAGTTTTTGCCTGCAGATCTTCAAGTTTATGTGACATTAGGCACAAGTCATCACTGGCGAAATCCAAGTCTTCTAGGTTCTTTTCCGCCGTCCAGCGTATCCCCCTCTTCTCGCTGCCTACTGTTTGCTGCATGATCCAGTCGACCACAATCAGGAATATCATGGGGCATAGTAGGCAACCTTGTTTCACTCCTGTCTTCACTTCGATTATCTGAGATAGTCAAGCTGATAATAATATTAATACCTAATGTTATATCAGAGTTAATTATCTTTGATGAATCATCTATTTAATCTAGATGAAAACATTAGTATAATCATATGAACAGTATGCTGACATATTATTACTTGCCTTCAGCCTATCTGTCTACATAAGTTGCATAATCCTATTACTTCAATGAAATAAATTATTGACAAATACTTTTGTAAAAACAGGGTATTCTGCTTTATTATCATATGTTTTACTTAATTGTTTAGTTTATTTATAGGGAATTGATTGGTTTCAAGATGATTTTCATCATGGAATGATGTCAACTGCATGATACTGGGTGATGATTAAAAGTGAAATGAAAATTTAGACGGTGGTAAGACTCAAACCAGCAGCCACTAGGTTTCTGGCTGCTGTCCAAATTTTCATTTCACCTTTAATCATCTCCCAGTATCAAAACTAGTCTGCCAAACCATGGATATCTCAGACAGTCGAAATGATAATTATGAGATCATTAGAAAATTGAAGGCAACGAACAGCTTTTGCTTACTAGCCCAAAAAGCTTCAGTAGTTCATAACAATGATTTTGTGTGGGATATAGCTCAGCACCGTCAGCTTTCGCAGTCAGTATATGGTCATCCAATAGCTCATATTTTCAACGGTAAGCTATTCATGATTAACGTGACCATTATTCACATTTTTCAGCAAGTATTTCGCCTAACAACTTACTTTATTGACTTATAGGTTACTGGTTCCCATCTTAAAGTGAGCCAATAACAAGCCAGGAATTCGTATCTGACTGAATAATTTTTGAAATTCGATTAGTTTAAAAAAATTTACCAGTAATAAAAACTATGAGAAGTTGAAATGTTCAACTTACTTGCGTCACAAAAAAGCATAACAGTATGCTCAGGAGTTTGATTAGCACTAGGATTTGATTGACCTGTTAATGACTGGCCTACTCCACTATCCATGCTCCCTTGATGTGAATGTTGATTACCAGGTTGAGGTGTAGCGGGTAACACTGTACCTACCAATCGTGTTGCAGCAGGATTAATATTTGATCCATAAACTATTCCAGAATTTGTGGATAAAATGAATTGAGGCTGTTGAACTCTGTGAGGTTTAGGCAACTGTTGTTGATCAAGTAGCACTTGTGTGGAATTATTAATCACATTCTTAGAAGTAACTGATGTATTCAGTCGTAGACATTCAAGACCCTGAACTAATTGTCCAGATGAAGTACTAATAGAACCGGTAGTGCAACCCTGTTGACTAGTATTCGAATTTGAGGCATTTAAACCTGTTAATGAAGAACTAGATGATAGAATACCACTTAAACTGCCAGGAAGTCGAAGCTGCGTTTGACCTAAAGATCCGGTTACTGGTGCTGTTGTAGTACTTGTAGGTATACTTGATGAGTTTGTATTTCGAATAAGGCCAGTAGTGGAACCACAATCTTGCCCACTGGACATTGAAACCGGTTGACTACATGAACTACAAAAGTAGTGACAAAAAAAAAGAATTTTTTGATAAATTTATCTTAAGAAATTATAAAAATATTTAAGCTTTTCATTGTTCCTCTGTATAAATTTATATTTTTTAAAGGATGCGCTGGATTCAAGACTAATACCCAAACAGGCTGGCTGGATTCAGGAAGTACAAATCATGTGCGAACCAAATTGCAAAGCTACACTACGCATCATCATAGAACAGAGTATAGAATGGCAGTCAAATGTACCTCTACCTCAACCTCATCCACTTTGAAAAGGCTTTCGACAGCATCGACCGACAAGTAATTTGGCAACTGCTCCAACACTATGGAATACCACAAACCATTATCAACCTCATTCAACGACTATATGAAGACGCCACATGCAAAGTAATTCAAAATGGGAAGCTTAGTGATGCCTTTGAAGTGAAGAAAGGGGCAGGAGTAAGATAATGCTGTCTACTATCACCCACGATATTCCTGATTGTGGTCGACTGGACTGGACCATGCAGCAAACATTGAGGAGCGAGGAGAGGGGGATACACTGGCTGGACTGGGGAAAGGATCCTAGAAGATTTCGATGTCGCCGATGACTTGTGTCTGATGTCACACAAACGTGAAGATCTACAGGCAAAATCCAACAAGCTGGCAGAAGAAGCAGCGAAAAAGGGAATTCAAGTGAATGCAGAGAAGACGGAGGTGATGAAGATACCCAGCCAACAACAGCATGAACAACAAGCACCTATCACCATGAACGGGAGAAACTTAAAGGAAGTAGCCTCTTTCACCTATCCAGGCAGCACCGTTTCAACTACAGGCAGCACAGGCACTGATGAGGACGTCAAAGTCAGCCAGGATCGGAAAGACACAGCAAGACACGCCTTCCTGAACTAATCTGAAATCACTGTGGAGATCTACTGCATTGCAAACAGCATAAAGCCTGAACAACATCCGGATTTTCAAAACCAATGTAAAGTCAGTGTTGCTATGTGATGGCTCAGAAACTTGGCGCGTCACGAAAACCACTTCCACCAAACTACAAACATTCATCAACAACTGCCTACACTGGCTTGTTACTGAACCAACCAAGAACCTATCGCTCTACAAATATGCACTGGAAGGAAGTGGAGATGGATTGGGCATTCACTGAGAAGACCGACTGGGAACATAACGAACCAGGCCAGGCCGTCGAGTGGAACCCAGATGGGAAGCGACGAGTTTGGTGTGTGAGGTGAGGGTGACATGGAGGAGATGATGTGAGGAAGAAATGAGAGCTTGTGGGCTGTTGTGGAGGCAGGTTCAAAAGATTTTAGAGAAGAGAGTGGAATGGAGACGTGCTACTGAACCTCTGTATTCCACTAGGAACCCAAGGGACAAGTAATAATAATAATAATAAATATACAAATAACCTAACTTTTAATAAATAATATTCTTTTACACTGTGATATATATATATATATATATATATATATATATATATATATATATATATATGATAACAGAAACACAAAAATATTATCCTGTGACAAAGTTCCCATGTTATATTAGTGATTTCTTTGATTGAAAGCACTTTGTCAAGGGAACATTATGCAATCTAATTCTCTTATAAATCTAATAAACGAGAGGAAATGAAATGGTATTGTACTATCTCTATTAAATAGTTGTATTTTTCTGCTAATTGTGAAATGATTGAAGGTAAAAGAGAAACATGTATACAGTAGAAAACATTCTACCTAATTTCTATAGTAATGAGTTTACTTGAAATGATAATAACACATTACAGGTTAATTTTATCATTTTGACTATCTGAGATAACCATAGTTTGGTAGACTAGTATTTATACTGGGTGATGATTGAGGGTGAAATGAAAATTTGGACTGCAGTCGGATTTGAAGTAGCGACCACAGGGTTTCCGGTCCGATGCTCTACCAACTGAACTACGAGGTTCAACTGGTGACCAGATTTTTATTTCATTTCAATTACCATGTGAATTCGTGACGCGTCACCATCGCTTGATCGTATTCACACTGCCTGTTTAGTCAGGAATTTTTATCCCAATCCAAATGTAACTGAATTAGAAAGGGGGAGGAATATACTGATTATGATTTGACTACCTAAGATAACTGCAGTTTGGCAGAATAGTACTGTTACTGGGTGATGACTGAAGGTGAAATGAAAATTTGGACAGCGGCTGGGTTCGAAACAGCAATCACAGGGTTTCCGGCCCGATGTTGGTTCGTTGGTTCAAATCCGGTAGTGGTTCATTTCACTTTCAATTATCATCCAGTGTAAATGCATTTTCAGCAAATCTATTGAGAAGGCTAATTGATTCTAATGTGCGTATGACCTGTGATGACCTTTAAATACCTTCCATGAACTAGTTCAATATGTTCAAACTATCCGCTGATGTTTTAGCTAGTTTTTCCACCCTATAGCTTATATTATTCAACTCCACAAAGATGTGAGCACATCTTTTCTGCTTCTTCAATTTCTGAAACAAAGAAGTTCTTTTAGCAAAGGAACTGGTACTATTACTTTTCATCAATTTTCTATCCTTATTTCCTCATAGAATTTTCCTCTTTACTAATGATGATGTAATTTTCAAAGAAAATAAGATTGATTATGCATTATTGTACAAAATACTTTTTATACACTCTAATCAATGAGATCAGTGTACTTTACTATATATGAGGTGTTTTCTTTCCAAACTATAACTTTTGTATACACTATGATTGACTGAATGAGTGAATAGTTCATTATTGATCCTTTGGCTGTCTTTTGATCGTATACAGAAAAAAGAAGAAAGCACAATACATACATATATGCACTATATATATTATCTTCTTTCCATATAAAAGTACAATTACAAAATGAGATAACTTTTGCTTGTTTATGAAACAATTGAATTTATCAAGTGTAATTAAGAAAGACATTCTAATAAAAGCAGTTAATAACATTTGAGAGGTTTTGTTATGGAAGTAGAAATATCAAAATTAGAGACATAAAATGCCCATGCACAAAAATCCACAGACAGAGATTATCATCTATCAATTAAAGGGGAATTTGTCATTATTTTGCAGACTGATTAGGTTTATTTGGGTGTAGAATTATCAGAGAAATCATTGAAAGTGAACATCGAATCAAAGGTGACATTAGAGGCATAGTATAGACGTGTACAGTATAGATACAGGATAGGTTGAAATTGAATGCTATGCAATTGTTCACTTTAACACTTCTATCAGTAATCGAATTCAGTCATCTGATTTGCATTGAAGCTGGAGGATTATTACTGCTCATATGAGTTCAAACGACAACGAAAAAAACAGTTAACGCTCTAGTCTTCTCCTTTAGATACAACAAATCATGAGTTTCTCATCCTACCTCTACTTCAGTTGGCTTATGACAGTGTTTAGGCTTGAATAACGAAAATCAGGCTATTTAAGGGAAAAATTTGATGAAATGTATTTTTATTGTCTTACATAGTAATGCTTTAGTATTTGACGAGTATTCAGACGTGTTGAACTTTTGGCGAGATTGCAATAAACATGTGGGGTCATATTACATGTCTATACATACAAAATACCACTTTTTAATTCGAACGCAAAATCAGTAAGTAGAAAGTCATTGGATATTATTATTATTTGTCTCTTGGGTTCCTAATGAAACATATAGAAGCACTGACTTGATTGACATTAGTGTTGAAAATGCGGATTTTGTTCTTTAAGCTGAGCGCAGTGCAGTAGATCTTCACACTGATTTCACATTAATGAAAGAATGGCTATCTTGCTGTTTTTCCGATCCTGCCATCGACATCCTCATCTGTGCTACTGCCTGCGGTTGAGATGATGGTGCCTAGGTAGGTAGGTGAAAGAGATAGCTTCATTTACATTCCTCCCGTTGATGGTGATTGGTGCTTGTTGTTGTTGGTTAGGTATCCTCATCACCTCTGTCTTCTCTACGTTCACCCAAAGGAAGCCCCGTCTTCTCTGCCGTGTCCTGCCCTGCATCTTCTGCCAACTAGTTAGTTTTCACCTGTACAACTTCGAGTTTGTGCGACAAGACATTAGGCAAATCATCATCGGCGGTGGAATCCAAATCTTCTTCAGGAGTCTTTTCATCGGTCCAGCCAGTGTATACCCATCTTATCACAACTCCTCACAGTTTCTTGTATCATCCAGTCCAGTCAAGTCAATCACAATCAGGAAGATCATAGGTAACAGTAGGCGGCAACCTCGTCTTACTCCTCCCTATCTTCACTTCAAAGGCATCAACGTGCTTTCCATTATGAATCACTTAACATGTAGCACCATCATCATATAGCATATAGGTGCTGTTGAATGAGGTTGATAAAGGTTTTTGGCACTAAAACTTTACTGAGGAAACAATTTCCAAATTACTTCTCGGTCGACGCTGTCGAAAGCCTTTTCAAAACCGATGAAGTTGAGGTAAAGATCCAGTTGGTTGCCAATCTATGCTCTGCTTCAAAGGATTGAACGTAGAAATTTAAAAAATCTCTCGGATTGCTGATAATCATAGTTATGACCTAAGATCAGTCTTGTTTCAATATCCCAGTCACCATCTTCTTAAATGGTTCCTTATTTGAAAGTTATTTAGTATTAAGTTACTTTGATAGTAGTGATGACTTATGGTTAGCAGTGAGATCCAGGATGAGTACTTCGTTCTATTAAGGACCCACTAGTCAACTGGATGTATCAGTCTCCTAGTGACAGGTGCTATTCTTATAAGTAACAACATTATCATCCCATGGTGATGCAATCCACCTATTTAAAATTCCTAATGATTTTCAGTGATCTATGCTAGTTCATGTTAGTCAGTTGAAAAAGATAAGAAGATATGAAAAAGATATACTCTATTAATTATTTATAACTAGCCTTAGTACAGTAGATCATCTAACATCCAGCATTATTTAATTATTATTGACAAATGGTTACTAACTAGAGAAAGGTGTCTTATTTAATGATATTTCATGATGAATTCAAGAAAA